AGACATGCAGTCGTTGGCATATATACTGTGTAACCAATGCAAACTTTAACTGACAGATACACATTCTCACTCTCAGGCACATTGATATACACGCACTCACTGACAGACATACACACACTCACTGACAAACACAGACACACTTACAGACGCACATTCTTACTGTTTTGACACTTACTGACACACACTCGCTGGCAGACACACTCTCACTGACAGGCACACACTAACTGATTTGATATACACTCTCACTGATTTGATACTCACTGACAGACACATACTCTCACTGATCTGACTCACACTGACAGACATGCACTCTCAATGAAAGACACACATTGACAAACACACACTCTCACAGAAATCCTGTCCCCGGGGTCCAGTGTGGCTGCTTTAATCTTACACTTTGCCACTGCTCACTCACGCGCCATTTAGTGATGCCGGGGCCAGAGTGATATAATATCTGGCCCTGGACATCACTACAGAGCTCACAAAGGAGCAGTGAAGAAGAGCATCAAGGCTCACTCGCTGCCACATCCTTTCTCCCCCTCTGTACAAAGTATATTTTGGCAAATTAGGCATCTGCTGTCCGGGTGAGCAGGTGCCTACTCTGACTTAGTGGATATACACAACCTTTGGGGAAACCTAATGACATCCTGGGCCCCATGTGGCAGGCAGAATGCAGAGGGCCCAGCATTACTTGCAACCTCAGTGACTCCTGTAGTTCTGCCACTGCATCCTGCCGAGAATGCAAAGCTGCTGGAGCACTTTATCAGTAATTTGATAGAGACACACTCTGGCATTACGATGGTCAGCTTAGTTGTCCCCTTTTGAAATCCTGGATGGACTGTCTTGGATTGTGTTAATACAGGCCTAAAGGCCACATAACTCCCTTGGACTAGCAAATTATGTTAGTGTCTTCCTTCCCACCCTTAAATTTGTGTACCCTTCTGACAATGGGGAAGAATAATGCCAATTTTGCACATTGATTGCCATGGTTGGAACTAAGCTGATTGAACCACATTTATTGAGAATAACATCTGTTATTACTGGTTCACTACTACCCATAGATGGCCCTTTGGCACCCTCAAGAAAAAATATAAATATTTCTATGACTCAATGAGCATGTCTTAGTGTACAGTGCACATTGGCCTCATCATTGTTTGCCATTTTCGGTAGCCCTGCACGTAAGGCATAAGGCGAGACCCCACAGAGTGCTATGCACTCTTCAGCAACCTTCTTTATTGAATGAGAACTGTGGGCCTTGAGATCTCCATATCTGGCTCCATTTGAAAGAAGTCCCCTTTCATGGTAAATCTACAAGATCTCACCAATGTTGCTACTGAGAACTTCTGATAATTTTTCTGCAAACAGATGCCATTATACTGAGCATCTCATACCTGTTTCTGCTTGAGTCTGACCGGCCTTCCCCAGCTTTTCTTGTCTTGAGCAGCTGTGAAGTCTTGGATCCATTGCTTTTTATTGAAGATACTCTGACAGTAATGTCTGGCACCATGGAAGCTGAACATACTTGTTTGTTCCAGGGTTGTGTTCACCCTCATAATAAGGCTTAGGTACATGCATTCCATTCATCTGGACTGTCTGATTTCATACTGATGTGACACATTTCCTGATAGCCTTGTAACTACATACATTTTGTGGACTGCACTTAGATGAATACTTTTAAGTGGCTAAAGTCTAGTTCAAGTATGTATACATACTGCATTGTCTTTCACACACTTAACGGAACACTATAGTCCCCTAAATTACTTTAGCTAAATAAAGCAGTTTTAGTGTATAGATCATTCCACTGCAATTTCACTGCTTAATTCACTGCCATTTCGGAGTTAAATCACTTTGTTTCTGTTTATGCAGCCCTAGCCACACCTCCCCTGGCTATGACTGAAAAAACCCAAACTGGTTTCACTTTCAAACAGATGTAATTTACCTTAAATAATTGTTCTTGCAGGGTCTAGCAAGCTATTAAAATAGCAGGGGATAAGAAAATCTTAATTAAACAAAACTTGCAATAAAGAAAGCCTAAATAGGGCTCTCTTTACAGGAAGTGTTTATGGAAGACTGTGCAAGTCACATGCAGGGAGGTGTGACTAGGGTTCATAAACAAAGGGATTTAACTCCTAAATGGCAGAGGATTGAGCAGTGAGGCTGCAGGGGCATGTTCTATACACCAAAACTGCTTCATTAAGCTAAAGTTGTTCATGTGACTGTAGTGTCCCTTTAACTTTGGTATTAATATATCAGGGCTAGTTTATTTATTTATTTTCAAATTCTTTATTTTTTGTTGAGCATAATATAACAAAAAATGCTTGTGCTGCCACAACAGCAGGAGCATGCACAATAAGATCAACAGAACAAGACATAAGCATGGCATTAAAATAGTAGCACAATTTTCTTTTTTTAAAGAAACATCAAAAGTTAGGCTAAAATATGGACAATTGTTGAAAATGGTAAAAGGATGTTATACTACATATTATAGTCACAATGTATTAGTACATAAGTGTCAAGCTATACTGCACTGTCAAGTGTGTTATCACAGCTGGTTAATGGTATGTAAAAAGGTGCAACATAAACTATGACGTCTCCCCCCTGGACACACCCACCCACACCTACTGGGGAACCACGCCCAGCGACTGACACACTCAGGCCCCAACCAATGAATGACACCCCATGACCCATGCAACCCCCCCTCCCAACGAACCGCCCCCAACACAGAACCAATTGCCAACGTCAAAACAACGCCCACGACCATAAACAGAACCACACGAGACACCCAAGCCGCTAGGCTCACGAGACACACCCCAACAGTCCAATACTCCCCACACCCGCCCCCCTCCCTGTCTATCCCCTCCCTGTAGTTCCCCCATGGTGTGGATGGCTAAAGGGTGTTGTGTCCATCGTGGCTCTCAGCCCAGAAAGGTAGCGCTGCGCCAGGGCATCGGCAGGGACCCACTCTGCTGAAGGTAAGGTGAGTAACTGTGTTTCTCAAAGGGACTTTAATCAGCTCCAAAAAGCTGCAAAAACCGCATCAAACATTGCTTGGAATCTGGCTACCGAGTCACCTGTGGGGAGATTAATCTTTGTGGTGGCCATTTTAACTGCACCACAAGGTTTTGCATAATTAGTCAGCACAAGTTATAGCAATTCAGAGTCCACAACTGGTTGCACCCTTGGTGGGGACCGGGATAACCCCCACCGGTTCAGAGGGGGGCAAGCAGGGCAGGAAATTCACACTTTGTATTCGCCAGCAGGTCTAGTCTGAGAGATCGTCCGTTTCTCCCCTCCAGTGACCACTTCAGGCTTATAAGCCACGGTATAATTTTGAGCCGTATATATCTGGAAGTGAGGCTCCAAACAGGCACATCAAAGCTCCATTGGATACAGGAACACGTTACAAAGTGTTTAGGGGTTGTTTGAAAAAGTTAATCCCACTTCAAAAGTTGATTATGCAGGCTTTCTGTGAGGAGCTCTCATTCAGCATGCCTGGCTGCCGTGCTGGTCAGGCTCCGCCCCCAGGGCTAATTTATTTTATTAGACAAACTAATAGAAATACAACTCAAACAGAAGTTAGAAATTCAAAGATTACCACTAGAGTTAGTCATTCATTTGAGATTACAATAGCGATACCATTTAAAATTAATTTGAAGTCTTTATTAATTGAAAATACATGCTAACAATTACACATAATTTACGTGAAAACAAAATCCAGTGAGAAAAAACCAAAAAGTGATCGAATGTAAATCAAAATCGAAGGATCCACAAAAGCATTAGAGAGTTTCTAAATTTGAATTTACAGACCCATATACCTTATTCGTATTTCTATTGATACATATTTAACCCCTTAAGGACCAAACTTCTGGAATAAAAGGGAATCATGACATGTCACACATGTCATGTGTCCTTACGAGGTTAAAGCGATAAATTGTATGTGGATAAAATAATACTCTCTTACATTAACTGAGACACAATAACTCCTGAATGAGTCAAATGCAGGGGTGGGCAATCTGCGGCCCTCCAGATGTTTTGGACTACATCTCCCTTGATGCTTTGCTAGCATTATGACCCTGAGAGCATTATGGGAGATGTAGTCCAAAACATCTGGAGGGCCGCAGATTGCCCACCCCTGGAAATGGATACTACTATTTGATTTCTTATAACACACGGGGGATCTTAGATGTGATTACACATTAGAGAAGCATGTGTGACTAGAAAATACAGCATATTCCAAACTCCTTTAAGAGAACACAAAAGTCTGCATTTTCTATCCTATTTGCTCCAAATATCCCACACTAGCTGTTACTGGACACCCAGACATTACATACTAGCTTAGCTTACATGTATACAACCTATAGTTCAATCACTATTTTTTCTTGCCTTCTTTACAATTTACCTTACTAGGATTACATTCATGATAACTCCTCTTTTATGTTTATTTGATATTGCCTTCCATTTTTACTATGCTAGTAATCTTGTTCCAATTGCAATTGCCTTGTTATGGAATTACCAGATGATTTCATTTACTAAACCCAACACAGTATTATATCTTTTCATTATCTCACAATCACTAAGTTCTGTTATAAATTAAAGGTTCTCATTGTGTTTTGTCTTCTTACATACCAGCTTATCCTAGGTTTATATTACCCTGGTTTATTGTGAATTGAAAAAATGGAGGCTTCCTTCTCGTCTCTGCTTACATTAGGTGTTATTGATCTGTTCATTCCTATTTGTGTTTACTGGATTTTTCTATTATAACTATCATATATCAAGTTGTGCTAGAAAAAAATTGAAAATCAAGTCAAATGTCTAGAACCACATTGAACTGGGGAATGGGAGTATTCTAAGTACTGCTCTGAAATGAGTGTACAGAGATACAAAGCTGTCTATATAAACATTAATGAAAGAAATACAGAAATACAGCAGATAACACACCTGACGTAAAGCCAGGAACCAGTAAATAGTAGTAATTATCAATAAAACTTAAAAAAATGCAATAATAAAAGATGACAAAATAGATAATCTAGGGGGCCTGACCACCGACAGAGATGGCTACATGGTGCTGAAGCTCCTCGGGAATATCTGTATTTATAGCAACAAGATGGACTTTGCTGCTCTTTTTGTGGGCTTACTTACACTCTCACAACTGTGGAGAATACCGCAGAGATCCTGGCACATTTGAGCCTGTAGACACAACCCGTGTCCAAGCCTATTGCGGGGAGGCGGATGATCTTCGGACTGACCAAGAACCTACTAACGGTGAGCCCTGCTTCCCAACCCCCTGGGCCCCACTGATGCACCTATCCTGCTGCGTTCTCTGGCCAACCAAGGATTAAGAGAGTCCGGGCCTACCAACACAAATGGCCGCCATGATGGGTCTTTCAACCGCTCATTCCAGGGGTATTCAATACAGCGATGCCAGATGGAGAGGATTGTGCAGACTGGTCTCGCTGGGTTATCTGCTAGAGATGGAGGCCGGGACTTACCACATCTAGGCATAGGTTGAGTGGCCACTGAACGCCCCTGCAGCCTGGCTGTTCCTCTAGGGAGCCCGCTGAATAATTATACACTGGTGAATGAGTATGAACAGACAGGTCTCAATGGTCAGCGACCTAGATGGGAGGCAGTTTACTACAAGGGGTCTGCAATCTGTGTCTCATGTTATTTTTTTTTATTATTTTAACCTCATGCTATACTCATTATTGAGGGTAGAGGTATTGCATACTGCCAGACACCATTCTGTTTATGAGTGCAGGGAATGCTGCCCTTTTCTATTATCTATTCTCCCATAGCGATCAGCACCGAGTGGAAATAAGTCTATTCTGATACATAAGTTAGTTCAGTATTCTCAACTTTCACTATATGTAGCCTATCTCTTTAATATCTAGAGGGGCTTTAATTACTCTTCAGCTTAATTCATGTTTTTATGTAGACATGTAAGCCTAGCCTGATTCACTTCTCTTACTCCTCATGTCTAGACAACACTCTTAGCTAGCTGAATATTGTGAAGAACACCCTTATAGGCATGTTAGATTACCATGATGTTACCATTCTATATAAAAATACACTGTACTAAAATCTACTTACCTCTCATCTTGTGAAATAATAATGTACAGCACTATCCATTACACCGTCAGTTAGTAGAGCCTTGTTTACTATACCCTCTTGTATTACCTGCCTACTGACGGGTTTTATCACTTTACTATTCCTAGTCTGTTATTTTATTTAAAAAAAATGTGCAGTCTCTATGAATGCCCTGCTAACGGTTGTTTTGTCTGTTTTTACTACGCTTGTTATCGTTGTCTTGGCAAATCAAGCTTGTATGTTAACACTTAGCACAATAAAAAAAATAGATATTCTAAATGTATCAAAAGTTCTTTAACACTCAAACTAATGTTCTAGTACTACAGTTTGAATTACAGCTCATGTATAAACAAATGTGTCCATAACAGTTTGTGTAAAAGTATCCACAGGTAACAGTCCGGAATGTAGCAATTTGTGAGGGAGGCTGATAGTATAAATCCAGCCAGGAAATGTTTACAGAGATTGCTAAATAAAGCATGTAGTATTTCCAGTTTTAAAAAAAATTCACTTTTCGTAGTACATACAAACAGAATGATTCTTCAGAATGTGAAATCCCTAGTATATCACTACCATACATTATGTATTGGGAAACCGAATTGGGCACCCTTACAAAGCTTCAGACTGGTCAGACATATGGGAGGCGATGGCATCCCTCACCATCTGTGTAACGCATAAAGAGCAGGCGTACAAGATGCTATTTCGATTGTACCTCACACTCCACTGCCTAGCTATTACGTACTACTCATCCTCAAACCTTTGCTGGGAATAATGTGGAGCATTAGGCACCTTTTATCACTGCTGGTGGACCTACTCTAAATTAAATCCACTATGGCAGAGCATAACGGCAGTACTGCTCAGAGTGCTGGGTAAATGGTGTCCACTGGACTATTGGGGGCTTTTTCTCTCCAAACTCATAGAACCTTTTATAATAGCAGAAAATAAATTCAAAGTGCGCATCGCACTGGCCATTCGCAGAGCAGTAGGAGTGTGGTCCACGCTACACATTCCTTCACTAAATGTAATAGAAATAAAGATACAGGATACCATAGATACAGAAAGTCTCACCTAATAAACGACATGACACTCCCAAAACTTTCCATAAAAAAACAAACCCCTGGCTGAATGAAAATACATCCTTACCTTGGTAAAGGCACCAAAACCCTACACATCATTCCCTATTAGTTGTACTTTGCAGATACCTAGCTACCACACTGCCAACTCTCTATTTCAGTTCCCTAAATTCCTTTCTCCCCTCACCTCCAACCTATATTTTTCATAATAAAATCCAATTTTCTTTCTCTCTACATAACCCTTGCTCTACCTCGATATTCCCTTGCTTTCCCAATCCTTTTTCAGATCACAATATTCTTCCAGGCTTTGATGCCCAACACATATGATAAATTGAGAAATAAACAACCTACAAAAATAAAAGCAACATAACTAATGAGTCCTTTAAGATTAAACACAATATAACATGTACCACTACCCACGTAGTTTATTTATTAACATGTGAATGTGGTGCACAGTATATTGGTAGAACAACTAGACCCCTGAAAATGAGATTTCTAGAACATCAGAATAATATAAGGAAACAATGAACTACTCATTCAGTGCCTGTACACTGTAATTGTTACTCTGGTTTTAATCCAGGGAATATTTCATGTATATAGAAAAAATTACTTTGGATGAAAGGGGGGGGTGATTTAGTGTTAAAGTTAAGACAGAGAGAGGGTTTCTGGATTTATAGCTCAAGACCATGCAGCCTGATGGTCTTAATGTTGATTTTGATATGATTTTTTTTTTTTATAAGGAAGTTTTAGGTCTAGGACCCCTCTCTCTTTTCTCTTGTTAATAATGATTGGTTATTATAAGATTTTATAATATTCATACCAGATTTTATTAATACCTATTTCATGTATGTTACATTTTCTTATTTATGGACTTGGAGAATTGACTTTGTGAACAGACTTTCGAGTAGATTCAAACTTACATGAAGATGGAACACATGCTTTCCACTGCACCATTTGTGGTCCTTTCTGATTTTATTTTGTAGGTTGTTTATTTCTCTATGTATATGTATATTCAGAAGATCCAAGAAATCTTCTAAACATCTACTATTTTATAGGGTAACTTATTTTCATAATTATCCCCTGTTTAACCACTTGTGTTTAATATTGCATAAGGGGTTTTTACGTTTTTTGCTTTTTCTTGTGTTTCCTCAATTTTAACCCTGATGTATTTATGGCACAAAAAAAGGAACCTGTTTTTAGAGCTAATACAGTCTACAGAAGCTATATTTAACCCTCTGTTTTCCACACAAGAAAGTGGAGAACCACAATTAAATTTCAATAATATGGAAGAGTACTTCAACAAAATGGAAAAATTAGCCATTGAAGAAACTAAAAAAAGGTGGGAGATAGTTTTTCTAGAAGTCTATATAAATAAAATTTAATCCCAAGAAGCTTACGTCTCAAGAAAGATCTGGCCAATGGTTTAGAATACTCAACCCATGCACAAAAATGGGATGTGGCTCTTGAAAAATGTTCGTTTGTTTGCAAAACGTCTCTAAAAAGGTTCTTTAAGAAAAGAGAGATAGAGGGGTTTTTAAATAAAGATGCATTTCCTTCTAATGTCGTAGAACAACCTTTTAGACCCAATTCCACAGAGGGGACACCAAATAGAAGCATTTTTAAAAATGGTTAATAAAAATATTAATAAGCTAGATTTTCAAACTTGGACATTTTAATTTAACTAAAAACAATAATAATTATGTACTTAAACAGTTAAAAAATAGAAAATATATTGTTATAAAAAGTGTGGATAAGGATGGGGGGATTGTAATTATGTCTACCAGTTATTATTTAGAAGAATCAGAAAGACTTTTGGAGGATGTTTTAACCTATAAGGAATTGATTTTCAACCCCAATCGGAATTTTAATAAGAAACTAAACAATTTACCAATTAATTATAAAGACAAGGGAGTGATTGATAATAAGGTTTATTCCTATCTTTATCTTGAAAAACCCAGAATCCCCACCTTTTATTTTTTACAGAAGATTCATAAATCCTTGACAAAACCACCAGGTAGACCCATTATAAGCAGCATAGACTCTTTAACATCGAGGCTCTCTGAGTATATAGATTTCCACCTCCAGAAGTATGTGCAAAATGCCCAATCTTAACTTAAATATACAAAGAACCTGATCCAGGAGTTAGACTGTAGGAAATGGAAAGAGGACTACATTTGGGCAATGGTGGATGTCACATCCCTTTACACCATAATAAAACATAGGTTGGGCCTAATAGCGGTGAAAACAGTGTTAGATGAAGACAAGGAGGTTTCTTTGGATTTTAGTGCATTTTTATTAGAAAGTATTCATTTTACTCTTACTCACAACTTTTTCTTTTTCAATGTTGATTTTTTTTATCCAATTGCAAGGTAATTCAATGGGCACCAAATTCGCGCCAAGTTATGCTAATGTTTTTTTTTTTTTATTATTGGGAAACCAAACATGTTTGGTCAAATAATCCATTTGGCACGAATTTGGGTTCTCTGGAGAAGATATATAGAATACATTTTGATTATTTGGAAAGGCTCAGTGGGAGATTTAAAGTTTTATTACATAAATTAATAAAAATAATTTATCATTAATTTTTACTCCTACAATTAACACCAAAGAAATAACATTTTTGGACCTTACCATTCATACTGAGGATTTTAAAATTAAAACTAAAACATTTTTTAAACCCACTGATGCCAATAGTTTTATCAATGTACAAAGTAGTCCCCATCCAAATTGGCTCCGAGGAGTACCTCGTAGCCAGTTTACCAGAATACAGAGGAATTGTACTGATAAAGAATGTTTTTTAAATCAAGCTCAAATTTTAAAAAATAAGTTTTTAGAAAAAGGTTATATACATATTTCCATAGATAATGAGATTTCACAGATTAAAGATTTTGATAGAAATGACCTTTTAAAAGATAAAACATATAAACCCTCTACAGATGGAAACAATAAATTTGCTTTTTCTTTTAATACCCAGTATAGTTCTCATGCTTTTAAAATTAAAAAGATTTTAGAAAAACATTGGATGCTTCTATTAGAGGATGCTAT